CAGCTATTTTGGTGTCCATTGCCCCAACAGCACCAAACTTAAACACCTGTGAGACACTGGAAGTTTCCTGCACCACCCACACCTCAAAATATACCCGTGCAAACTGCCCAGGTGCTGAGGTAATAGGCTTGAAGTTGCCTGCCTCCTTCTTGCCAGCACCATCCGGTACTGACAGTGCCAAGTCAGTGACACTGTTGCTGACCCCAACGCCATCTGCCACCATGGCTCTGCCAGATTCCAGCTCTGCCATCTTTATTGGCACTGATTGTGACATCTGTGCCACCTGCTATGCCAGCACTGCAGACCATAGCACCATTTAAACCAGCACTGCTATTTGTGCACCATAGCAACCTTATTGTTTTGCCAACACTGAACTCACTACTCGTCAGCACCAATATTTCTCAGCATATCATAATGGAGCATTGGCACCATATCATAATTTATCTCCAAGTACTCTTTCCAATGAGCATGAGGAAGACTTGCAGATAGAGTTTTCATCTCATCATTCTCCTCCTATTCCTCCATCCCATCAATCCCATCATGTACCAGGTCATCCTACCGCAGAGATTTTTTCTACATAGTATGGTCCCTTAGGGATGAGAATGAGACTGACTATGTCTTACCCTGGCCACTGTCAGTACTGCAAAACTTTACTATACTAAAACTTGTGGCAGTTCACCCCCACTACCACCGTACCCGCATATGACAAAGGAACAGGAAGAACCCGTACCACCTCAAGCCCCTGCCTCAGATGTCTCGCCAGACACCACTTCATCCTTCACCTTTTTCATCAGATGAGTCCATTATACCCCTTTCCTTCTACATCAATGGATCATTTCACCAAATTTTAGGAGCTCTTCAAGAGGATAGCCACATCACTCTTTGAAGAAGTAGCAGAAAACCAACACAAGCTTACTGATATTCTTCAATTGGCATTCTCCTCTAAGGCTATGTCCAGACTCAGGGGGTTTTTCGAAAAAAGTAGCCTTTTTTCGAAAAAACCTCACCTGCGTCCAGACTCAAGCCGCGTTCTTTTGAAATTAAATCGAAAGAACGCTGCTTTTCTTTCGATGGCGGTAAACCTCATTTCACGAGGAAGAACGCCTTCTTTCGAAAGTTCCTCTTTCGAAAGAAGGCGTTCTTCAATATAAATAGGGCTTCTTCGAAAGAGAGCATCCAGACTCACTGGATGCTTTCTTTCGAAAAAGCAAGCCGCTTTTTCGAAAGTTCAATGTGCAGTCTAGACGCTCTCTTTCGAAAGAGACTTGCAGTCTAGACATAGCCTAAGAGTGCACCTTCTATCAACCTTGCTGCAATGGACCTTGCCCAAACTATCTGGGAGATCCCAGCTACCATAACTCCCACCTATAAAAGAGCAGATAGGAAATACTATGTTCCTCTCAAAGGTTCAGCATTCCCCTTTACACATCCAGCTCTGAATTTGCTGGTGGTAAAAGCTGCTCAACAAAAGAACAAGCAATAGCATATCCATTCTACCCCTTTGGGCTGAGACAATAAAAGATTAGATCTCTTCAGTCATAAAGTGTATGCCTCTGCCAGAGAATCCAATTATGCAGGCCTCCTAAGTAAATACAACTACAAGAATTATTCTAAGTTCAATGAATTTATTAACTATATTCAAGAAGCAAAGAAACAACAATTCAGGGCAGTGATAGTAGATGGTCACACCGTCTCCCTTACTGCGCTCCAGGCTGCACTCAATATTGCAGATACAGTTGTCAGGTCCACAGCTACTGCAGTAGTTATACGATGGGCCTCTTGGTTTAACTCTTCGTCTTTCCTGTGGGAGATCCAGTCCATTATCAAGGACCTTCCATTTGATGGACAAAAACTGTTCACGACTAAGACCAACAACATCCTATATACTATGACGGACTGTAGGGCTACTCTCTCATCTGTAGGCATCCACACACTGGCACCTAGAAGATGTCAATATAGATATCAATCAAACCTGAGACCATGCTATCTGACTTTTTCCTCAATAACACCCTAGGCCTTTCTCCATTAACCTCAACACAACAGACCCAGGTCTCAGTGCCGTTGACCTCTGATATCTACCATGCCTCATCCCTCCCAGCCCAATAAGCAGATTTGAGGCGGTGGTTGAGGTCTTGGAAAACCTCTCTCCTTCTCCATTTATTAAACACTTTCCAAAATATTTGGTCATTGTCTCCTTCTGTTCTGTAACAACTAGAATGCCATCACTACGGACCAAAGGTTTTTGCAAACTATTACATTTTATTTCAATACCCTCTAATCACCCCCCCATCCTGTCTCTCTTCAGGGACTATTCTAACAAGCAATTGCTCCTCCTGGAGGAACAACATCTCCTCTGCCTAGAAACCATTGAACCCATACCTCTCCAATACAAAGGAAAGGGATTCTATTCCCATTATTTTCTCACTGAGAAGAAAAATGGGGGATGGCACCCTATTTGGATCTTAGTGCTCTGAATAAATATTTAAAAATCAGAGATTCAAAATGGTGATCCTATCAATCATTATTCCAGTAATGGAGCCGGGGCCTGATTTTCATCCCTTGACCATCAGGATGTATATTTTCATGTGACTATATGCCCAACTCACAGACTTTTTCTCCGGTTTGTCCTAAGTCACAATTACTACCAGTACAAAGTTTTACCCTTTGGCCTCTCCACAGCACACTGAATCCTTTACAAAATTCTGAGAGTTGTTACTGTTCATCTTAGAAAGAAAAGCATTATTATTATTTTCCCATACCTGGACAGCTGCTTCCTTTAAGGCATCTTACCTGCAAGACTCTCAATGAAGTACTTTTGTAACCATCTGCTCTTTCCAGGACTTAGGCCTGCAACTCAACAAAAACAAATCCACACTCATTCCCACTCAAAGGCAAAAGTTCATAAGAGCTCAGTTAGACACAACAATAGCAACCGCCTTTCTTCCATGAGACAAAGTCAACAACATCAAGTTACTGGTAAATAAGTTGCAGGGCAGTCTGCAGGTCACCGCTCATGACTGTCTCCAACTGTGTGGACACATGGCCACCTGAAACCTAGTCATCAAGAATATTCACCTCTTCATGCAGGGATTTCAGGGATGATTAAGTACTATATACAGACCAAACATTCATTCCCTCTCCATCTCTCTTGTAATAAAGCATTCCCTTACTTGGAGGACAATACCACACTTTACAACAGATGCCTCCCTCACATGATGGGGAGCACACTTCATGGACCACGCCACTCAGAGCCTATGGTCTGCCATGGAGAGATCACTCCACATAAACATGATACTGGAGCTCTGGGCTGTCAGATATGACTGCCTTCAATTTCTGACCTTCATTGAGGAAAAACAGGTCAGAATCTACACTGACAAAGAAGCTTCTATAATATTCATAAACAGACAAGGAGGCACTCGATCCGACACACTTTGCAGGGAGTCCATGACCGTCTGAAACTGGTGTCTCCCACACAATATAACAATCTCTGCCTCTTACCTACCTGGGGTCATCAACACCATTGCAGATGCACTCAGAAGATCCCTCCCTCAAGAACATGAATGGGAGAGAAACTCCAAAATCATCAATCGAATCTTAGAGGTCTGGGGCCACGCCACAGTCAATTTGTTTCTCCACTTTTCTTTCCACAACAAACAAACTGTTCTTCTCCCTACTTTCTTCCCGTAACCACATGTCAACACTATCCAATCCACTATGCACATGCTAGTTATCCTTTTAACTGGATAGAACTGAACTCTTCAGATCATCATCCAAGCTCTTTGTATCTATAGTTGACTGCAATAAGGGCAAAGCCATCTCTTCCCAGAGATATTACATTGGATATCAGAGTGTATCAGATTATGGTATTGACAAAACAATATGACTGCTCCTACCTCTCTTCAAGCACACTTCACCAGAGCAGTCTCTACATCTGTGGCATACCTACAAAAAGTTCCAATCGCAGACATTTTCAGGGCTGCCACATGGGCCTCCAAACATAGTTTTGCAAAACATTACTCACTTTCCTGCTTGGGCTTTGGTGACAGCAGTGCTAGCCACAGTCTTCCTGAGGGATCCAAAGTCCCTACCTCCTTAAATATCTAATGCTTTATAGCCACCTACATTGGAGCACCCCCAGTGACATCTCTCAAAGAAGAAGAGGAAGTTACTTACCTGTTTAATAACTCAAGTTCTTTGAGGTGAGTGTCTCTGGGGGTGCTCTAATACCCACTCTCCTCACTTCTACTTAGGTTTTTTTCTGGTGCAGTCTTCATGGTAAAGAAGGAACTGGGGGGGGAGGGATATATGTATGATGTCAAGGCACCAACAGCTCAAGATACAGCCACAGTTGCATGTGTGGCCTGCAAGAATGCTGCTCTAAAAGACTTCCATTAATGGCTCAAGGTGCACCAACACCTACAGTGGAGCACTCTTAGGGTACGTCTAAACTACCTGGCTCCGTCGACGGAGCCATGTAGATTATGGTTATAGGCAAAAGGAAATGAAGCGGCGATTATTTAAATAGCCGCTTCATTTCCCTTTGCCAAAACAACAAATCTACATGGCTCCGTCGACGGAGCCATGTAGATTATGGTTATAGGCAAAAGGAAATGAAGCGGCGATTATTTAAATAGCCGCTTCATTTCCCTTTGCCAAAACAACAAATCTACATGGCTCCGTCGACGGAGCCATGTAGATTATGGTTATAGGCAAAAGGAAATGAAGCGGCGATTATTTAAATAGCCGCTTCATTTCCCTTTGCCAAAACAACAAATCTACATGGCTCCGTCGACGGAGCCATGTAGTTTAGACACAGACATAGGGACACTCATCTCAAAGAATGTCATTTACTGCACAAGGGAGTAATCTCCTCTTCTATTTCTACCACATGTAGTAAAACAATATTATATTACCTCTAACGATTATCTTATCAAGTAGAAAATCTAAAACAAGAGTTTTTTATATATGTGACAGAATATAAAATGAATGCTTATTTGTAGGTGATGCTATTACTGATTGGCAGTGGATAATCTTGGATGGACCCGTGGACACAGTTTGGATAGAAAACTTAAATACTGTGCTAGATGATACAAGAACTCTGTGTCTTGCAAATAATGAAAGAATCTATTTGCCATCAGGAATCAGAATGATATTTGAAACGGACAGTCTTTCTCAGGCCAGTCCTGCTACTGTCAGTCGATGTGCAATGGTTTTTGTGGTAAGCTTGTAAGAAACTGTATGATTATTTTAAATGTATAGATTATTTCTGATAATTGTTTCTCTTAATGATTTATTTGACAAAATAGGCAAATTAATATTTAGTACATTGTTAAATTACCATTGTTATCCTGTCAGTGATTTTAGGGGGGAACAGTATGCATGCACTGAAGGCTACATATTTAGGGATTCTCATCAGTACTAGCCTCCATTTTTGTGATCACAATTTTAAAGTCACAAACTTTGCACTCCAGAGCTAAACTGTTACTTTTGGCGCAGCCATGAGTAAAGGATGTTGCATAAATTGCACCACTCTATAAGTAACACCAGGAGACGCCATGATTCAGGGATACAGCTATGAATTGCAAATGAGCAGCAAGTCTCTGCACCAAGCACCCTCAATGTCAGTTTAGCTACATTACACAGTAGTGTGGTTGGAGCCAAGTTTTGCATGGTCCCTGTCCTTTCTGACCACTTGCTCTGGGATGGAGGGAGTAAGTAGGAATACAATTATTATAATTAGTTAGTGGTCTGATTCCTTGTGTGTGTCCCATCTGAATAGAGCTTTCTCAAGATCTCATATAACTCATTTGATTTAATTAACAGGATCCAACTAATCTGGGATGGGAACCTTATGTAAAAACATGGCTATTAAAAGTTTCCAGAATAATTACACAAAGTGGTTTGGAGTATCTTGAAAGTTTATTTGAAAAAAGTATGAAAAAAGGACTACATTTTTTAGATACATACAAGAAAATGCTGCCATTTCCCGTGCAGCAGATGCAAATTGTAATGAATCTCTGCAGAATCCTTGGTGCTTTTATCGATATGATGAGCAAAAAAGAAGGCTTCTTCCAAAGTGAGTAAATAATTAATTTATAATTAATTTAAAATTATTTCTCATTTTACTGTAGTTTTATTTTTTTTATGTTGAACATATAATTACTCATTTAATTAGTTTGTATTCACACACTTGTTTCCTTGAGAATGGACAAAACTAAAATGACTCAGCCGCTTACATGTATAGACTTTGAAAATGTTTTCCATTGTTTGCATTACTCTCTTAAACTATTTGAAAATACAGTACCATTTATGCCACTTTTGAGTCTTGTGCCTCCACATTGAATCATGCAGAAAAATCCCTTAGCCTTTAAGCTTTTTGGCCCTCTGACATGCCTTCAGGATGGTTCTGAAGTACAATTATTATAATTAGTTAGTGGTCTGATTCCTTGTGTGTGTCCCATCTTTTCATTTTGAAGCCAGTGGCAAAAATAAGCCTCCATCTTTATAGTCTGAATAGAGCTTTCTCAAGATCTCATATAACTCATTTGATTTAATTAACAGGAATTTAATTTATCTCCTCACCAAGAAATTCTGTGCTATGGGTGATCTAATAACACAGGCCATCCTCAGACCTTGGACTAGAGTCCGTATTTGGCCACATAGCCCCATGCATGAATATTACATAATTTGCTAGTCTCTGTCTCCATTGCCTACAAACCTGGTGAGTCCATCCACTCACTTAGAAAGATCACTTCAGTTATATCACAAGTCTTCTGGAAATCCATCGTGACAGGGTCATCCTTGTCAAAACCAGCTGGCTAAGGTAGTTCTGGTTCTCAGTCCAGCTGAGAATATCAACCCATCAACATTCAGCCATTTACAGATCTGTTAAAGTAACGTAACAGCACCATTGGACATCCTAGCTCAGGGCCACAAGAACTCTAGGGTTGGCATTTGGATGGTCCTCATATGCTGAGTACTCATGTTCAATGGTGGTTCAATCAAAATAGGAGGAATTCTATCAGGTGATGCTGTTCAGACAAGTGGAAATGTTCTCCTTTTGGTCAAAATATCTATAGAATCCAGGGTGCTTTTTTCAGCTCTCTACAGGTTCATCTGTCAACTATCAGTTCTTTTCATTTTCCTACCAAGGACCAAACTATTTTCATTCATCCTACTATGACTAAAATCTTGAAGGGACTTATTAGTTTCTTTCCACCATGATGAAGGACCTCAGTCTCATTCTTTGACTCTCACCAAACCTTTTGAATCATTAGCCATATATTGTGTGTCCTATCTCTCAGCAGAAGTTTTAAGAAAGGTGATCGAGCTGGGAGCACTCATGGCAAATCCATCATATATTACCTTCCATAAAAAGACCTTTCTTCACCGATATCTGAAATTATTGTAGGGATTAATTTTGGTTTCTAAAAAGTCAAAACATCCACTTACCAATATTATTTTCCAGAATCACATGGCTCTGAAGAGACAAGGAGACTTCGCTCTCTAAATATCTGATGAGCACTAGCCTTTGTCTACAGAGAACAAAAGCAAGTAGAAAGACCCCTATCCTTTTTGCTGCCATAGCAAAGAATTCAAGAGATCGGAGAGATTCTAAATGTATGATGGGTTTCAACATCGTTACCAATCAGCTCTTACTTCTTTGATGATAGGATGAAGAAGGACATTCCATCAGGGCACATCTAGACTAGCTTTCAATTTTGAAAGAAGGTATGCAAATTCATCGTGAATTTGCATAACTTCTTCCAATCATTTTTTTGAAAGAGGTTCTTTTGAAAAAGAAAGTAGTCTGTATGCAGTTCATTCAAGAAAGAACCTTGTCAACCTGATTTTTTTTTTAGGAAGAACGGTTTTTTCGAAAAGGGTTTTTTTCTCGAAAGAACCTTATCTAGACTACTTTCTTTTTCGAAAGAACCTCTTTTGAAAAAGCAATCAGAAGAAGATAAGCAAATTTGTGCCAAATTTGCATACTATCTTTTGAAAGTGAAAGCAAGTCTAGATGTGCTCTCAGAGTGCAAGTAATCTCTAAAGCATTTTTGCATGACTTGCCTTTATTGTAAATCTATATTACAGCTATCTGGAGCTTCTTACACACACCTTTGCAAGGTTTTATGCTTTAGCCCAGTCTTTTACTGCCCATAAAATGTTAGGGACAACAATATTACAGACAATCATAACATCTGCTTTTTTTTCATCCGCCTCCTGTTTGACCATGCTTACTAATTTCCCACATATAGAATTTACATAGGGACCATCACTTGAAGAACAAATGGAGATTCCTTACCTGTTACTAGTGGAGGTTCTTCAAGATGTATTCCACTACCCTCCTTCCATTCCCAATGCTGTGGATCATAGCTAGATTTGTTATAGAAGAAGGAACTTGAGAGGCATTGATCTGCATGGCCCTTGTACTCCTGGTTCAGAGCATGAGGAGAATTACAGTGCATATGCAGACCACTGGAAACTGCTTACTAAAAATCTCTGGACTAAGGTGCAGATGTACATGCAAACCAATGTGTGGAATATAGATAGGGACCACATATCTCAAAGAACCTCCAATAGTAAGAGATAAGTTAGTATCCATAATTGTGTAATTTATGGTCTGATTTCACCATCTTTTATCCTGTTGAAATATATATCACTCATGAAAATTAGACAGAAATCAGTGCAACTATTTATGTGGTAAAGTTTTTTTCAGATTAAGAATAGGTGACAGAATTGGGAACATATTTCACTTTCCTGAGTTTCAAAGTATTTTCTTCCCAAATTTATTTGAAATAAACTGTAAATATTTCACATTCTTCATTTTAGTTTGGGTAAAAAATTAAAATATAAATAAAATTAAAATTAAAATATAAATACTTTTAAAATTATGCTTAGATCGATGTATATACAAAACACATGTTGTACTTGAATTGATATAGAATTTTTTATTCTATTATCTTTTTGAAAACCAAAGATTAGGTTTTTATATAATTTAAAATACGTCATTCAATTCTAACATATATGTAATTGATAAATAATACAAGTTTAGTGCAACATACAGTATGTTTGGTATTACAGTCCCTAGGAAATACAGACCATAATACTAGTATCTTTCATAGTTTTATAAAATTTAAAGCAAGAAGGGGCTATCAGCCTATCTAGTCACAGGCCACCATATTACACTGATACATTCTTTTATTAAGCCCAAAGCCTTTGGTTTCCCAAGGGCTGATGAGCTTCAGTCTAAATTAACTGATATGTGCCATAGTCAAAGAGCAGGAAAAACCAAGGTGCCAGAAATGCTTGAGGTTCCTGCAGTGGCAGGGAAACGATTAGGTAAAATATATCAATATATCCCAGCAGGCATACCAATGAAAAAGTGATTTTGAGAAAGAATTCCTGATTGCCATGTGCTACAGAGGAAGGTAGAAGAAAATCAAGGCCCTTGAAAATCTGGAAGAAAATTCCTTCCCAATCCCAAATCTGGTAATCAGTATTGGTCCTAAGCACTTTGTATGTCTAGACTACATCCCGCTGTCGCCAGAGGGATGTAAATTAGAGATACCAAAATTGCTAATGAAGCAGGATTTAAATATCCCGTGCTTCATTAGAATAAAAATGGCCTTCGCTTTTTGCCGCCATGGCAATTTGCCAGCAAAAAGCAGCAGTCTAGATGAGGATCAGTTGACAAGGATAGCCTTTTCCGACCGATCCTGTAAACCTCGTTGCACGAGGCATAAGAGAGCGGTCGGAAAAAGCTTTCCTTGTTGACTGATCCCTGTCTAGACTGCCGCTTTTTGCTGGCAAATTGTCATGGTGGCAAAAAGCAGTGGCCATTTTTATTCTAATGAAGCGTGGGATATTTAAATCCCCACTTCATTAGCAATTTTGGTATGTCTAATTTACATCCCTCTGGTAACAGAGGGATGTCATCTAGACATACCCTTTATGAACACACACCAGAAAGTCATTTAGAATGAGAATTAATTACCATTTCAGAACACTGCTCCACTTCCTCCAGAGCACTGTCTTCTGCTGTGGCCAATCTCTGATGACTTGGAAGGAAGTAGGGACAGAATATATCTTCCAGTTGTGCCCTGGGGAAAAATGAAACTCTGATGCTTAAGATTTGATTATCACCATTATCTTAATGCAGAACTGCAAGTATATTGAACCATGTTAAGGGAAGTGCAAGCATTCCTATTCTCCCTATAGCCCATGAAAGAAAGGATTAATAGGTTGATAGATTCCAAAGCCAGAATGGACCCTTTCACCATACATCCTAATATCTGCATTTACAGGTCCTAGAATTTGTCCCAGAAGCTTAAATAAAACATATATTTTTAAGCATAACTTACAGATAAATCTATTTTCATTTAAAATGCACCAAGTGATAACAAATAGACCATCTTACTTCACATGATGAAAGTGTATATGGAGCTGGCACAGAGCCATATGCATGCAGGGAGTTCCCCTAGTTCTACTAACAAAAATGTAGATTGTATCATAGAGAGGGTCCAGAGAAGAGCAACAAGAATGATTAAAGCTCTTGAGAACATGACCTATGAGGGAAGACTGAAGGAATTGGGTTTGTTTAGTTTAGGAAAGAGAAGATTGAGGGGGGACATGATAGCAGTTTTCAGATATTTAAAAGGGTGTCATGAAGAGGAGGGAGAAAATTTGTTCATCTTGGCCTCTGAGGATAGAACAAGAAGCAATGGGCTTAAACTGCAGCAAGGGAGGTTTAGGTTGACATTAGGAAAAAGTCCCTAACTGTCAGGGTAGTCAGACACTGGACTAAATTGCCCAGGGAGGTTGTGGAATCTCCATCTCTGGAGATATTTAAGAGTAGGTTAGATAAATATCTATCAGGGATGGCCTATACAGTATTTGGTCCTGCCATGAGGGCAGAGGACTGGACTCGATGACCTCTCGAGGTCCCTTCCAGTTGTAGTATTCTATGATTCTATGAACTTTTGTGGGCACAACCCACTTCTTCAGATGAATGGAGCAAGGGGTCCAGAGGTATAAATAAATAGCAGAAAAAAAAAGGGATGGGGAGGGAAAGAA